TAACCATTAATAACAAATCTACTAGAAATTTTACCTATCGAATCGAGAATCGATTTCCTAAGTCCTAAATTACCGTTCTTCTCTCGTGATCTAACCTATTTAGTAAAATGACTGTCGGTAAAACGAAGCATAAGTAAATATGTCCATTAGCAGGTAGTTTGAATTCTATAAAATTTACACCTACCTTCCTTGTGTTGACAATTCCAGTGGGAAAATGTAATTCACTTCACCTTCTGATTTTATTATAAATTCTCCACATTCTATTCTTTCATGTTTTGTGTTTTCGTTCATGCAGGTACGGAGGATAACGTACAACGGCATGGCGTAGAGAAAATCGATTTGTAATAACGTAAATCCTTGGGGCAATTAAGACGATGGATTCTGGAAAATCGAGTTTATTTTGGAAATAAATTGAATTTATACAATAACCATTAATAACAAATCTACTAGAAATTTTACCTGTCGAATCGAGAATCGATTTCGTAAGTCCTAAATTACGTCTTATTCAGTAAAATGACTGCCGGTAAAACAAAGCAAAAGTAAATATGTCTATTGGCGGGTATTTTGAATTCTATAGAATTTGCATATGTATGTCGTTGAAGAAGTTGTTTATACAGTGCGGGGGAAGATAATTAAAAAGTTACTACTATAAACTCTAAAAAAAATCTATTAAATAAATCTATTAAATCTACTAAATCTATTAAAATCTATTAAATATCTATTAAAATCTATTAAATAAAAGAATCGTACAGATAAACTGTTTTGCACAGTGTAACTAAAAACATTCAGGATAACTTGAATTATCAATTAATTTTTCGCGATTTTTCTACACTAAACAATTTTATTATCTCGTTTAGTTTGTTACAAATGGTTTAATTCTGGACTGTATCCTACAGTTTATTTTTTTTTAAATAGGTCAAAAACAGTTTTCTGTCTAAAAAATGCTAAAGAATATTCCTTAAAGCTTATTCAATCGAGCAATAGTTGACCAGGCGAATATAGTTAGCAAAGACAGTAGGTTATGCGAGTTATCGTAGATGGGGTGGTTAACGCGATCATTGGCTACGAAGGAATTAATAATGGGTCGAGATTAATTGCGTGCTACGCAGATAATCGATGGCCGATGTCCGAGTGCATCTTACGCGTGTTGGCAATTTAATTAGTGGGACATGTTCCCTCCTGTCTGATTATCATAATGATGGAAGGGGCTTCGGTAAATTATCGTAATGCGATTCGACTGTGCGCACCACGTATCCACCATTTTATATCCTTTAATTTCATTTCCCTTTTGAAATTTCTTCATTGTTATTTACGTTATTCAATTGAAAAAAATGCTTACTTCGAAATATGTACATACTAATCTATCGAATTATAGAGAGAAACTTGATAGTTGGAGAAAAATTGGATTCGTGACGCTTAAGACTTTTTCAAAATCGCTATTAATCTACATAATAATAAATCTCTTTATCAAATACGAACAAAAATAGACTATGGGAACAAAGTAATTGAAATAAACGAACAAACAAGATCACATATTAGGTTGGCAACTAAGTGATTGCGGATTTTGTCATTAAGTGGTATTGGCAAAACCCGCAATCATTTAGTTGCCAACCTAATAGTTTGCAGAATAAAATACTGAGCGATGATGCGAAAGAGAAAACCAATTTCTCTAACAATAAAAAAATACGTACCAATAGCAACGAATATATTAACCACACATTCAGTCAAACCTAAAATCTACGTTTCATTCTACCTTTTTCCTAT